ATTAAATAGTGGAGCCAACCTTCAGACCCATCTATGTCACATTCCATGAGTTTATGCTCTTAATTATTATACCACACCACCTCTCCTAGAAAAAGTTTTTATAAACTAAAACCATTTTTATTAATTTACAGAACATATTCATTTTCAAGGACTGGAAGATGAATATCAAAACACTAAAGGGAGGGCCAGCTGAGTGGCTCAGCTGGTTAAGAGCTGGCTTGGGACACCAGCTCTGAGCAGCAGGGCCCTGGTTCGGATCCCACATTAAGGGCCAGTGACGCTGCGCCCTCCACAGCTAAGATGATGAACAACAACTCAACCTGGAGCTGGGCTGCTGTGAGTCGCCGGCGATGGTGTAGGCTGCAGCGGAGCTGCAGTGGGCTACCGTGAACTACATGAGTGGCTGGCAGCCAGCGTGAGTTGCCGTGAGCCACCGTGAGCGGCCGACCAATGACTGGCAACCGATTGCCTCACCCAGGAAGAGCACAATGATCATACCAACATGGGCCAGTGAAGCAGTGTCCTCCACAATTAGACTGAAAAACAAAACATCAATTTGTCTACCTGTCTGTTCTCCTTCCCCGATTCCCCAGCGCTGTTGCCCTCCAATTCCCCAATAAAAAATAAAAAAAATCTAAAAAAACAAACAAAAAAACACTAAAGGGAGTCAGTGGTCTTGAGCAGTATTTCTCTAAGTATCATAGTTTCTCTCCTTCCATGACAGTGCTGAATAAACTGCTAAACTCTAAGTCTAAGGTAGTTGAACCGGCAACCCTGTTGCTCAGAGTTCACACTCTTGAACAAGCTCTTAACTAACCGAGCCACTTGGCTGTCCCTAACTCTCTAATTAAGACACCAAGCTGACCAAGTCCCTTACATTAATATTCTGTCTTTAGAGAAGGAACAACGCAATTGATTAGTTTAAAGCTCAATGGTTTTACACTTTCACACTTTTTAATAGAATCAAGCTTTCCTCAGAAAGCCTCTCTCTTCATAGATGTTTCACACTCCACACTCCTAAATCACCCATTTGGGTAATATTTGTATTAGTGGGGCACTCTTCCATCACATTTTTCTTCCTAGTTTCACTCTTTGAAGTTGGCCAAAGCACTGGTGTTCTTTAACTGTTGCCCTCCATATTTCAGTACTGATTATATAGTCCTGTGCTTGGCTAATGAGAAGTTAATTTCTTTATACAATATGAAAGAATTATAAACATGCCTCTAAGAATTTTTCCTTCCCAGAATTCTTAAGAGCACTCTAGAGGAAACAGAAGATTATAAAATTTTGAAAAAAGAAGTTGTAGTTGAACACAGCTGTTTGGATTGACCTACAGTACACAGTACATACATAAATACATATTAAAAGACTAGTGTTTGTAACTACAGATTATTTATATTAAAAATCAATATATGTGCAAAAGGTCTCAACTTGTTTTGTTTTAAGATTTTCACATCCAAGTTAAAATGGTGTCAATGACTTAAAAGTGAAACTAAAATGGAGAAGAAAATAAGATAAAAAGTGAACTTTTTCTTTCATGCTTCTTTGGAAATACTGATCTAGGAAACGCAGATACATTTTGAAAGCTGCTGTAAAAGGATTAAGAATTACCCCCACCCCTTCCTAAACTAACAATATTATCAATGTTTAACAACAGTAACATGTTAAGAATTACTCAGGGGCTGGCCAAGTGGCTTGTTGGTTAAGAGCTGGCTTGGGACGCCAGAGGGCCCCGGTTCGGATGCCACATATGAGGGCCAGTGACACTGCCCTCCACAGCTAAGATGCTGAACAAGGGCTCAACCTGGAGCTGGGCTGCCATGAGTCGCTGGTGATGGCATAGGCTGCAGCCCCTGCTGCAGTGGGTTGCCATGGGCTACCGTGAGCAGCCAGCAGCCAGCGAGAGCGGCCATCCAGAAGCTGGCGACTGATCTGCCTCACCCGGGAAGAGCGCAATGATGGTGCCAACTTGGGCCAGTGAAGCAACGTCNTCCACAACTAGACTGAAGAACAAAAGGACAGCAACTTGTCTGTTCCCCTTCCCCAATTCCCCAGCGCTGTTCCCATCCCCCAGTTCCCCAATTAAAAAAAAAAATCTTTAAAAAAAAAAAGAATTACTCAGTATTTCATATTAGGAAATATTAGAATATTTGTTGAATTAAATAGCTTTCACATTCAAATTGAATCTGGGAATGTGATCTTAATTTGATACAGAATCCTAGAGGCAAAAATTTATGTAGGTAAAACTGATTTCAAAAGAATCAGCAGTAATCTACAATTAAAGTACTCTGTACAATTAAAATCTCCCTGATTTGGATTGACATTTAGTGAAGACTTGGTTATGTGTTCTTAGAGAGAGTGCTCAGTATATAGTGTACAGAAATAGCACAGAGTACTATTATTTTTTCATGGCAACTAAAAATGTTAGCAAAGGCCCGCCTAGAATTGGCCCTCTTTAAATAGAAATAAATAATATGTAATTAGCTATTAAAGCACCTGTATCCTAGAGAGGCAGGCAAACCAGTCAGGGTTTACCCCTTTTCCTTTAATGTGCTTGAAAGCAGTTTGTTGTAATTTGGAAAATTCCTTCTTTACGTATTGTATGCACTATTATTTGCTTAGAAATTATCTTTCGTCCAATAGACTCTGTGTTCAGAACGAAAAAATATTTATTGTGCCCTATTAGGAGCTATGCAGTATAATAAGTACTATCTTTTAATAAGTTATCTATGCTTTGTCCAACAGCAACTTTCATATATTCTTAAGAGAAGAAAGTCAAATTAGTGAGGCTTTATAGAATTGATATTATATTATACCTTTCAGAGACTATGTAAAAACGTCTTTATCGTTTAATCCTTTTGAGAAGAACTCTGTTAAGTAGATAATAACAAAAATCAATGAGACTAAAGGAGAACAAAATGAAAACAAAAAACAAAAAAAGAACATAAAATAAGGAACAAAAAATAACAAAAGTTTAATGAACAAATATACTCTATAGAGCTTCTGTTTTATTACTAGAGATCCTTGAGACAGATTAATTCCATAATTTGATAAATCTGAAAAAATATACATGTATAAATTTATAGGATTACCTGGAAAGAATCCATACTTCATTCACCTGAATAAACTTATTCAACTATGCCTCCTTTCTCCTATACTCTGTATCCTACACCTACACACACCAAGTGAAGATATAGCAGGTGAAAAAAAAACACCAAATACCTAAGAACTTTCTGTTTTATGTGAAATATTTCCAACTTGTGTATTCCAAGTATTTATGGCATAATGTGTTTTTGGTGGATGGTAAAACAAGTTATATGTGTATTTGTAGAGTTGGTGTATGGCAGATGCAATGTATAAAATCAAAACTGAATTTTAAGTGATTCTAAGTAAAAAGGTTTTCATGTGTTTGATTTATGGAGTGGCTAAGCTGCAAGCGGCTGCTACTCAAAGATGACTTCAGTCCCTGTCCCCAGGATGAGTATTTACTGGCAGAGATGTTACTACAATACAAAGCAAAAAGCACTAGAAGGGAAGCACAAATAAACTACTTGTGCTTCAAATGCAAATAATTTTAGAATTGCCACTACCAAAAACGCTTTAAGGACTTAGGGTTTTGTCACAATTTCAATATAACGGGGGCAAAAAAAAACCCCCAAGACCCTCTATTCCTTTGTCCCCCTGACTCTTAAGAACTCCGAAGGTGGTGAAAATTGGTGGCTGGTTCTGAAGGGGTTAGAGGGTGGGTGCAGGGCGGGCGGTCCCTCGGGGCTTCACCCCTTTACAGGCCTATATGCAGAGACCACTATTCAGAATGGCCATGTTCAATGAGTTCTCACCCTGGCCAAACTCCGGATTACCTCTGAAGAGCCCCAAAGATCATTAAGAAGGAGTGTAGGCCAAGTCCCCGAGGAGAACGGCGGCGACGGCTGCAACATCAGCGGTTAGATTTTACACTTCCATAAGGCTGGTCTAATGCACCTGTAGTAAGATTACTAGAGTTGAGGATCCCTAGATTGGGGGAATTAAAGAGGGAAGGGAGAAGGGAAGAAAAAAAGAGGAGGGTACAGGGAAAGGAGGAGGGAGGGGAGGGACACCGCGGGGAAGGCGAGGGGTTTACTGGCGAGAGGTTTACCGGCGAGATATTGGCGTTGCCATGGAAACGTATCCCTCCGCCTGTGCTCGGAGTCTTAGCTTCTTCAGTTCCCTCCGCGTTGCTGCTAGGCTGTTTCCGCCCAGCTCCTTTGTGCCGCGCAGAGCGTCGAGATAGCGCATGCGCAAATAGCCCCAGCCGCCGCGTATATAAGCACGAACCCAGGCTCTTCCTCGTAGTGCCGGCGGACCGTTGGCGAGCGAGTGTGTGTTGTGGCTTTTGTGTTACTCCTTCTTGAGTACTGCGAGCTAAACACAGCTCGTGGGCCGTGCAGTCATCATGTCGCGTTACGGGCGGTACGGAGGAGGTAAGAGGCTAGGGGCCACGGAGGGATGTTGCTGTGGGTGTAGCGAGTATTGCGAGGCCGTGGGGTTGGCGCGGCAGTTGGGAGATGGTTATTCCGCGTGCGTAATGGCGGCTTCGGCGCACACCATACGAAGCCGGAGGCAGCGGGGGCGGGGTATTGAAGGAAGACGGGATGGCGGTTGTAGGTCTGTGCCAAGTTCCGTGTTAATTCTTGGGCATTTTCGTTTCCTGCCCCAGCTCAAGCCAGGCCCACAATCACTATTTTCCTGTTGCCCTTCTTCGAGCCGCCCGCCTGCCCCCACACCCCCCCGCCCTCGGCTGCCATTTTGCGCACATTGACGAGCATGGTGGCGCATTTCCTTGGCGCTTTCCCGCCACTTTAGCGGACAGATCTGGTCGCAGCCATAAAATCATGGGTGAATTTGAGACTGAACAAAATTGTGACAGTTTCGAGCTGCGTATTCTCGTCATATAGTCGGTCGAATTGCGGAGTCGGTATGAAGACATAATCTTTGCGTCTGGCGGCTGGTTTCTTTTCTCTTTTAGCTCTTTCTAGCGCGGTTAATGGCTGTGGGGCGGGGAGCTGCAGCCTTGGGCGAGCCTGCGCCCGGGGCGGTTGCTGTGGAGGACGAGAGCCGGCGCAGCCCTGCTCTCCCCGTCCGGCCCCTAGCGGGGCCGCCTGCCGCCGACGCCGCTGCTGCCTCCGGCCCGCGCGCTCCCAGCGCGCCCGGGGCTGCCGGGACTCGGGGGCGGGGCCGGGGCGGAGCCCGCCTCATGTGTACCTGTGCTTTGGAGGTTCGCCCGTTATTAGAATAAGAATTTTGTTATACTCCTAGCTTTTCAGGAATTTACTGATTTTGCTGGTTTTAAGACTAAATTCCATCTTTGATAGAGCACTAAACATGCTTTGCACAATCTTCAGGATGGCCTGTTTTGAGGCGAAGAATTCATTCAATCTTAGGTCAAATTTTGTATAACATGCATTCTTCTATTTGCATTTTTAAACAGAAACCAAGGTGTATGTTGGTAACCTGGGAACTGGTGCTGGCAAAGGAGAGTTAGAAAGGGCTTTCAGTTATTATGGTCCCTTAAGAACTGTGTGGATTGCAAGAAATCCTCCAGGATTTGCCTTTGTGGAATTCGAAGACCCTAGAGATGCAGAAGATGCGGTGCGAGGCCTGGATGGCAAGTAAGTAAGATGTTGGTTATGAAACTTGTGTTCATAAGAATATTCCTGTGGGCTGGATAGTGAGCTTAGGTGCCAAATTTGGGTTCTGGAGATTGTAAATAGCTGATCATAATTTTATTTACTTAAGAAAGGGAGCAAAGGTGGAGTTGGAAGGGCTCATAAAGAAGTCACAAGTATTTTTGTTAGCATTAGAATTTTGTCTTTTCTCTCTTATAGGGTGATATGTGGTTCCCGAGTGAGGGTTGAACTATCAACAGGCATGCCTCGGAGATCTCGTTTTGATAGACCACCTGCCAGACGTCCCTTTGATCCCAATGATAGATGCTATGAGTGTGGTGAAAAGGGACATTATGCTTATGATTGTCATCGCTATAGCCGGCGAAGAAGAAGCAGGTATTTATTTTAATAAAGGAATGGTTGGTATACTTGTTAATCAAGTAATTCTTTTATTGGCAAGGCAGAAACTAGTATTTTTATATAAACTTGAATGTTAATTGTACAGGTGTATTTTACAATTTTTGTTTAATTAAACAAATGTTAATATATTAATAATCAACCTGGTCAAAACCTTTCAGGTTTCTTCGTTTGAGTCAGTCGCCTTGATTCAGAATGTCACGAGCCTTATGATATCATGCTGAGGCGCCTTGCAAATCCGACAATTAAGATCCTCCTAGACCTTGAGGTGATCAGCATAAGAGGCCAGATCCCCTCGAGTCATCTACACCTAGCTTCACCTTATTCTTTAAAGGGCAGAAAATTTGAGTCGGTGATCGCCGTAACAGTAAATTTGGCTTACAATTGGGGCCCCCTCCGGTTTAGAAAGAGGAACATCAGATTGACCACATTCCCAACTAGAAAAATCTTCTTGCGTCAATCAAGCCTCACCTGGCTCATTTGGCTGTCAGTTTGATCGTCGTTAGATTGAAGAAAACATCTAGATGCAGCGATCGGCTATAGATACTTCTAGATCGTCTAGATCTACTAGACCATGGGCCAAAGAGGGTCGACCTGCAAACTTGCAAGGTTTATTTTAAATACACATTACAGTGCTTTATATTATGTAATTCTAAAATGTAATTTAGCTTTTAACAAATCTTTTTTTAGGTAGTAAAAAAAAAAAAAAAAAAAAACAACTAATAGGCCCAGAATTTATTTCCAAATGAGACACTAAATTTAAATAGTTTTGAGATTTGATTTCAGCAGAGGCACACAAACTGTAAAAATGAGTTACCATCTGACATTTTGGTTTTTTCTAACTTGAAAAATAGGTCACGGTCTAGATCACATTCGAGATCCAGAGGTAGGCGATACTCGCGCTCACGAAGCAGAAGCAGGGGAAGGAGGTGAGAGCTTTAATTCAAATTTTAACAAACAATAAAAAACTTTAATTGAAGATGAAACTAAATTTTGGTTTAATTTTTAGGTCAAGATCAGCATCTCCTCGACGATCGAGATCTGTTTCTCTTCGCAGATCACGTTCAGCTTCACTCAGACGATCTAGGTCTGGATCTATAAAAGGATCGAGGTATTTCCAGTATGTAACACTTTTTTTCCCCCCTTATTTGCATTTGGGTTGTCACGTCTTAATGACAGCAGTAGAGTGTCTTGAGGACACAATTGAAGTGTTTCAGAAAATATTTGAGATAAAAGTTGAACTTATACATGACCTGTAAATGGGTATTATCTAGCTGTACAGATAGAAAAGCCCAACTGAAGATTGTAAGAGTTGTTAGGTCATGATAGAGGAGGATCCAAAGCACAAATCCTCAGATCATTCCAGGTGAACACTCTGGGTAGACATGTTGCTGAAAAGTTCTTTAAGTCAGATTTTATCTATTGTCTTAGGTAAGTGATACTAACTCTAAAAGATGATAGATGCCTGATCCCTGCTAAGAAGGCCCCTTAGAACCAGAAAGAGATTTAGAATTAGAAGCAAGTTGAAATATAGTTAATTTGATTGCAGGACCCAAAGATGTGCATGCCAGCCTGATTTGGCTTGTGACAAATTTATGGTCTTTGAACTAGGATAGCTTATTGATCCAAGCTATAAAGCTTTACCCAGTTGTGACTTTTTCACTGAGCTTATCACTTGAATAATTTAAATCTCAGTTCAGGGGTCTTTGTGAGGTTGATTTGATTCCTTTAAGCTAAAATCAAATCATGTCAGTCTTCAGTCAAAAAACCACCTATTATATTTTTCTCTGAGATATTATACACTTAAAGAATATTGTACCTCTGTATAGTAACCCAGCTCTATTAACCCAGCTCACTGAGCCTGATAGAAGCAAATAATTGAAATGGTGGTTCCTTACTTATTTGATACCAGAGCTTGTTGAAAGAATCTGTCCAATCTTAGACTGATGTAAGGCAAGAGTTGCATCTTGCTCAGTTTTAGCCTACCAAATAATGTGCTCAGGAGGTATTTAAAGAAATTATTCATATGGACTAATTGGTATGTTTTTTTTTTTTTTTAGATCCCGGTCCAGGTCAAGATCAAGATCTAGGTCTCTTTCACGACCAAGAAGCAGGTAAGGGTAAAAATCTGATTAATGTTCTTGTAGTTATATGGCACCAATATCCAAAGAGTTCAAAGTGTTTTGAATTGTTGAAGTTTCAAGTGTTAACTCTTAAGTCTAGGTGTTAAGTGGGAGCACAGTACCTTATTAATAAACCAAACATTAGAACTTAATTTGTACATGGCCTATTCTGGCTGATTTTCTGGGCAAGGGGATATAAAACTATAATGAGAAATTTGTAATTTTGGTGTTAAATTAAGAGGCCCTTGTTAGAATGATAGGTGCATGGAGAAGCATTCTGAGATAGTTGTGTGTAATGCGAAGTGTAAAGGATTAATCATGATAAAGCAGTTCATTTTATGAAGAACAGTTGTTGAAAGACTGGCTCTTGTTAGCAAAAATAATAGGCTCTTATTTTAACTGCAGCCTGACATTTTTTAAGCTCAGGTCAATTTTGGGGTTTTTGTGATACTGTGACTTAGAAAGGGGTTGGTTAGTACTTTTTCTTAATAGAATTTCTCGTGTTTTAACAGCCGATCAAAGTCCAGATCTCCATCTCCAAAAGGAAGGTAAGCTGAATAATTTGTTGCCATGTTTTAACTGTCAAGTGTGGCCTCTGTAGAATTTGTTTGCTTACTGCCTACTTTGCAGGCTTTGAGCTCTTTGGAGAATTGGTGCTATATATATGCAGTAAAATACTAGGTACTACGTTTCTTAGATGATTGCTTTCCCTGCTTCGATATCATATCAGCTTATACTTTTGTTGGAAATACTTAGTCATAAGATAGGATGATTATTAAGATGTGTTTAGTGCTTTGAACCCTTGAGTTCTGTGAACCCTTAATTGTATAATTTCATGTCGAGAAACATGCTTTGTTCCCCCACATAGTGACAACAGGTAAAAAGAAAGTGGCCACATGAAAAATGTTTAGGTTGAAATCTTGTAGCTAAAA